AGCCCGATTTACGACTCCGAATGGCAACTGTATACACAGTAAAAGCCTATTACAGTTTATGAGACGGTAAGAAATAGTGACCCAAACATTTATGATAACAAGTAAATTTATTGCAAATCAAAATAGGAGATTCACTGAGGTCTCTTTAAGAAACATCTCGAAGTGGTGTTCCATGAAACGCCGACGGTGGTCCAGGCTTGAACAAAGTTAACACTCTGAAAACAAGAAAATCAGACATTGTTCTATCTTTTGAGTTTTCACCAAAAGCTGACGGAAAAGTCTTGAGGAAAAGCTGTTCGAGCACTAAGCTACGATGAGTGGCAAATGTAGTTGGCACGCCTCCCCTTTCAAGGTGGTCGATAACCCTCCACTCAGCATGGTAAACAGAACGTGTAATTCACCTCAAATAATTCACTCGAACGTCTCCCCTTTCTCCCTAAACAATGCTGCAAAAACTTAGAGACCATTCAGTTAACATCGCAGGTAAGAAATTAGTGACCTTTTTGTTAACACCAGGCAACATTGAAATGAGGGGGGGGGGAGTGCAATTTATAGACTGAAAAATTCGAAAAAGTATTATAACATGCCTCGACTTTTGACTTTCATTGTAGGATATCACGCAATCTTTGATGTAAAAATATTGACAATCTGATCATGTCCTTAACACCAGATAAATTTTTCTCTTACATCCCTTTCAAAATCTGGCGCTCACCTTTATCGTCTTCAACCATGGATGATACAACTATCTTTCTACCTTGTAGTCTGTCCGGTATGGGATCAAGCCTGTGACGGCTTTCGTCAACACTCATTGCTCGACCCCCCGTCGATAATCTTCGCTTTCCCCTAAAAGTTGCCTCAGTCCCTCCAAAGATTTGTGATGATGATGGATCAGAATTAGATCTGTATCTGCGCTCTGCGTTAAGACCTTCAAGATGAACAAAATTAAAAAAATTGACAATTTTGCGTTTTGTATTTTGTGCGTACTGCTTCTTTGGAGAGGATTTGCTCGTCTCATAGTTGCTGTTATATGCAATTAGCTCCAGGATCACAAATAGTAATCAAAAGTCATCCTTATCATTCGTCAGTATCGATTAATCCTGTGACCAATAGATTGTGTATCTTATTTCGAATATATCTAGCTGGTAGTTAAACCGAAATTTTCAGCATAGCTATTATTTCCAAATTTATTATTTCCAATCATTTCCAAATTGGAAAGCATGTAGTCCTTTTACAAAGACAAACTATGTCATATTTCGCTCCGACGAAGCGCTAACGCTCGAAACGTCAGCTTTTATAACCGTAACGGTGGCCAATTTGCCATTTCAACTTTGTTGATATATTCAAATTATTATTTCATCTAATAGTCTACTAGCTACTAAAAACTTAGGCGTTCTCGTTTGATTTTACTTCTTCGCACGTTAACATAAACTTGAATTATAGCCCTTGTTTCTAGTTAAACTTTGAACTAGGAATAAGTTCCATGCAGCTCACCTACAAGGTCCAGTGCTGAAGGATTGTCTGCTGGGTCATCAGGCAATGCAGTTTCATGAAAACGAGCGATGACTAAAATCTTGGGCTCTACTCCATCAAAATGCAATCGAAACGTTCGGTAAATCTTAGGCAGCACGCATGGTCCTTCATAA